ACTTTTCATTTTATATTCAAATATTTGCATTATTTCACTTGGTCAGAAGTATTCAAGGTTTGCAGGTATGCTTATTTGGATTCCTTGGAATGAATGGATGCAGAAAAAATAAATATTCCCATCAATTCATTGGGACCGAAGACGGTAATCGTGAAATCCAACAAGATTTGGACATTCAATGCGTGTATGCATTTCCAAACATTTTTCAGACAAAGTAGGCAGAAATTTCGCCTTGTTTTGTGTTAGAACGATATAATTATCATATGAAGCTAAAGGAGATCTTCGTGAAGGTTCGAAACAAAGAAACCCATGGTAATAATTTAATATCTGTTTACAGAAATGTATTTATTTACTTATATCAAATGACAGGCATCTTGATGGTTATCATTAGCCCTTTAGTTGACTTCAGGTTTCACAGAGGGGAGGAGGAACATCAAATTGAAAAAAAGTCGAGATGGGGAGGGGAACAGAAGAGTGTTTCAAAGATGTAAGAGACAAACACAAAGGTAGAACAAAGGTGAGGTGAGTACTGTGGAAATAGTCAAATATGGCATAGAGTGAGGTGATGGTAGTTTGAAGTGAGAAATCAACTGCCAGCCAATAGACTTTTTTGCCGTATGAATATAAGTTGCCCAGGGTGCACCACGTGGAGGTAAGTCTATCGCACACCCCTGTTTAAAGAAATTTAAAAGTTCTATAATTAGTATGAATTAGCCATTACCACGAGTTCGTGTTGACTGTTTCATCGAAATTTTTGAGCATAGACATAGAGGCGATGTCCATGGAGGAAAAGTTGCCTTTTAACATTCAAGAGGAATTGAAACATTTTAACAGTGTTTTTTGCATCTACTCTTAGTCTATATTGCCTACATTAATCTATTATTCTGTGTTTAAGTTTACGTATCGCGACCACATATATGACTGTTAATTTCGGAATTGTTTGAATTAAAAAGCTCCCTGATTTTAGGGTCTTTTAAGTGTAACTTTAACTGGGTTTAAGAAGAGATAAATGAACCGAGAAAATAAGGTAACACACACGTTCAAATACGGATTCAGGCAACATTTAAGATTTGACATTAATTTTTGCGAATCTTTAGTACACATTTTCCGAATATCAAAGTATAGGGAAAATCAGACGAGTCACTTTGTGACTCCCTTTCGGTTGAAAAGTTATCTGTGCACATGTGTTTCAAACCATGCACGCGCAATGGTTCTCCTTCAGTTCCTAACATTCCCTCTACGAAGGTTCTGAACCCACTGTTAAGGATGTCATGCAATGAGGATCCGAATGAATCAGTGAAATTTGCTGTGAAGAATTATCTTCTGAAAGAACCGCTCGGTGTGGGAGGTTTTGAAGCTTTCTACTTGCATTCCTCTTTCCTCTACCCACCTGTTGCTGATTAAAATAGCCGAAAATAGTATTATTTAGCTCTTCAAATTTAAATCGCAGGCTACCATTCACTTCAAATTGTAAAATTCAATATCTCACGTGCTGGCTATTTTACCAATCAATTGCATGAATCGTCGTAAGTCATTACATTATCAAAAAGAACCCACCAATTATGAGGTTTTGTCAATAGACTTTCCACAGAGATATGATTCGAGGACAGTCATGCGCGATGTCATATATCCCAAGATTCATTTAACCGATTCTTCCATTTATTAAAACTCGCACAAATTTTTTCCTCATGATAATCATTCACAACAACGTCGTTTAAATTGATATCAATTTAAAAAAACAAATATTTGCCCTCTCAACGTTGCCTTTGATGACCATTTGATGATATCTCGTTTATTATTCATTTATTTCAAATGGCAGGCGTTATGATAGGTATCATTAACCCTCAGCGCTCATTTTCATTCTCTGGGTGTACGGTAGACTTATACACCCTCTGCAAAGTCCGAAGTCAGCTTAAGAGCTAATAATGATCAACAAAATGCTTGCCATTTGAAATACATCAATAAATAAATAACTTTACATTTAATAAAATGTTGGTTTAGATTAAACATTTGAGT